TGGCTCCAGAGCAGAGGGGCTCCAGCCCTGCAGCAGCTCCGGGCCCCTCTGGGCTCTCTCAGCAGCTCCAGCTTCTCCTGAATTTGGGATTTGGGATCTGGGCTCTCTCAGCAGCTCCAGCTTCTCCTGAATTTGGGATTTGGGATTTGGGATCTGGGGCAGCTCTGCAGGTGGGGGCTCACCTGAGCATAATAATGCCCAAACCAGGTAAAATCAGAGGTCCAGGTTGCAACCAAAGCATCCAGGTTGCACCAAGCAATGCCTAAGGGAACACCCTTTTCCTAATACCCAACTCTTGGTGTAGCATAAGTCATGTTACAAAGCTCCCCCAAAAAATAAAGAATTAATTTAAGAAGTAATTGTTCTATAATTTGAATGTCACTCTTTCCCCCAAGGCTTACACCATGCCTGTTTAACTCAGACACATATCTWTACTTCAGTATTTGTCTGGTGTGTCAAAATTTTAATTAAAAGATTTTATGATGATGTAAGGAARAAATTGTGACTTTTTCCCAGCCAAGAGGCTGAGCATGGCTTTCCAAGTCAGCAGCCATTAACATCCAGACACCCCAGAACCTGCCTTTCCCCCACTCCCAATGATGGCCTTTCTGAGATTTCACATAATGAGCCTCAGTAGCCTTTCAAGCCAACCCTTGTTTTCCAGATGACAYGATTAATAGGACTGCCTGGGAATATTTTAAATCACTTAGGACTGAAGAGGATTTTAAAGGCAAAACGTTTGACAGGCTCACAAAGAACTCACATTAAACAGCCTGYCCTGGAATACACCGCTGGCCTTTAATATTTAAATAATTGCAAACTGTGAGAACATGCACAACTTTCATTTGCATTGAGTTTGATTTTTTTTCCATAACAAAGAATCATGGAGTGGTTTGGGTGGAAGGGACCTTAAAGACCATCTTGTTCCAGCCCCTGCCACATTTCACCTTCCACTAGACCAGGCTGCTCTAAGACCTGTCCAACCTGGCCCTGAACCCTTCAAATAAAGTGAAATAAAGTGAATAAACCCTTCCCTACCAGGAGTTTTTTAAATTCAAACATGTTGAATAATGGACAATCGAAAATGAAGAGTGTGTTGCTGATGGAGAAAAACCTCCTGAGGAAGTCAGGAAAGCCTTGTCAGGCAGCAGCGCAGGTTCTCACCSAGAAGAAAAACAGCTATTCAGGTTAGCAGGTTAATTGACTAATATAACCTGTGCCGTGTTTCCTGACAAGAAAAGCCTGGACATTTTATTCCTACCATAAAACAGCCACCAGGCTCCCTATAACCATCCTGCTTCCATCCATCTCAGCAACTGCCCCTTGCAGAGACTTTCACGAGCACAGGGCTCCAGGAGCTTTGGGCATGGGGCTCTGATATTTTCAGCCATGAAATAATGGTGATTTTTCCAGAAGAAAGCCACACATTCAGGATTTTATTTGCTCCTTATGAAGAATGGCTTTAAAAACAAGCTTATCGAAACAGTGATCAAGAACTGAAAATTAGCTTCGGTATTTAGATGAGCAATTGGTCTCAATTTTTTTGTTTTTGAAGAAAAAAAACACACCAGGAAGAAAAACAGTAGGAACTCAAGGAGAACAGTAGTGAAGTACTGCACAGATTGCCCAGAGCAGAGGAGCTGCCCCTGATCCCTGGGAATGT